AAATTTAAAACCCCCCTAAGGGGGGGAAGAAAAGGGTTTTGCCCCTCATCCCCCTGTTTTTTTTTTTTTTTTTTTTTTTTTTTTTTTTTTTTTTTTTTTGCATGTGTTAGTGGATATGGTTGTTGATACATGTGTGTATGGAACTGTGTGTAAGTGTGTGTTACACAGGTGTGCTTTCTTTGTATCTGCATACCTCTCCTTAAACCTGAGATTACGCTCCATAACAGACAGAGCTCGACACACACACACAAACACATGGCTACAGACACATGTATGCAAAGCACGCGCTCACACACACACGCGCTCACACACACACACACACACACACACACACACATTTCTAAATTATGGGTTTTTCAGAAGTGAATCGTGATTCTCTCAAAATCCAATACTTTAAATGCAAAGACCATTTCTTTCTCAAGTGATTACAGCTAATGAAAACAGACTGAGAACAATTGAAGCAGCAAAAAAAAATTAAATTCCTTATAATAAAATGTCTGCGTTTAATTTTCTAAAGTCAGAGGTGGTGAAATTGGCAACTAGCCAAGCATCTTGGCTGATTATTACAAATGTAGCTCTCATTACTAAAGTGTAAACAGTCAAATCCTGTGCTACAAAAAAAAAAAAAACAATCATTGTGGCTTGATTTCAAGAGCAACAAATAGACAGATCCAAATAATCTAAGATTCTGAGTTAAAAGAAGTTGAATTTGGCTGCCTGGCACAATGAAATGCTCTACAGTACCCAGGTCGCCTCCTCGAAGCTTTTTAGTTGTAATTATGTCATGAAGGCGCATATGAGACATCAATACTACCCATGGGCGGATGTCTACTTTCCAGCATCAGTGCTGTTTGATCCCAGAACAGACGATCTTTATTCACTTACATGTCTTCAGACAACAAAAGGGCATTGGGGTTCTGCTAACCGGAAGCAAAAAAGGGGGCATGGCTGCGCGTTGGAAAAAAAAAAAAGAGTGGGAAACGTGGGCCTGTGCTGCGGTGCTAGGCCGGTCCATTAGCAGGGGACTGCATCTCTCTGTAATGCAAAAAGCAGAGAGAACATGAATTTGAAGATATTTTTTCTAATGTGCTGCTGGCTTACAACATGTCAGTTTGTATTTACATCAACCTTTGTGTGTAAACAAAGAAAACAAAATGCTTGCCTTTTCATAACAATATGGGTCAGCAGGTCAAATTGAACTAGGATTAAAATAAGATCAAGATCTCACACCGTTTGTAGAATGGCAGGGTTTTTATGCAAGTTAAGAAACTTAAACAAATTTAATCATGTGAATCTATCCAACCAATTACAGTTAACTTACAAATCATTTTAAGAAATATGATCTTTAAATATTCCACATATTAAGGCAACATGCTAAGTTAAGCTTTTACTTTTGAAAAGGCCATGTTATAAGCACAGTAATTTCTCCTTTACGGTAAGCAAAATGCAGCCAAGAAATGTGGCCAGACCGAAGTGATTAAATTACACACAATAATTCATCCATTAAGACAAACAATTACCGATTATGGAACTATGCACCACTCCTGTTTCTGAAGGACTGTGTTCCCACAGATCGGTGCATTGCTGAGTTTCACTGAGCAGCACAAATTGTTTTGCACAACATGGTAGAAGCTGGTTTCAAACAGAGAGGACGGCTGCTGCCGTGACCACAGACTTGGTGTAGATGCTGATAAAATGCTAAAAGCTTTCATTAGACATAACCATTCATGGAGCATATTGTTCATATTTATTCCAGATGATAAATACCTCAAAGCCGAATTTCCAACATCAGGACAAAGCACAAATCAGGACTCAAGACTATGAACTGATTAATGTTTTAATTAATTTAACTGATTGTTTGTTTTAATTGTTATTACTGTGTTAATGTTTTTAATAGCCTATCAAGAAGAGACAAGGATGAGTCAGGTTGACATACCACCACATCGAGATAAAGCTGACTGGAATGACAGACAGACAGCGGCTCTACTCCTGCATTTAACAGAATGTAACCTTGTGTTTGTTGATCTCACCTCTTCCTGAGAAATGTGTATAAAGAGCAAACACTCACTGTTTGACATCGGCCGACTGGTTGGTTGGACTGGCGGTAACTGTGCTAGAGCCGTTTCCATGTTTCTTTTCTTTTTCATCTTCTTTGTCTTTTTCCTTGATTGATAGTCCATCTATAGGCACCTTATCTCCTTCACTGAAAAACAACAAAGCAATGTGTAGGTGAAATAAAAAAAATAATAATAATAATCAAAACACTGTCAAGAAAGTCTCTTGTACATAGATTGTTTTACTTTTTTCCCCTCGTCTTACAGTGATGTAAGAAAGTATTAATGTCTCCTAATCTTTTTCATCCCCCCCCCACCCCCATTTAAAAAAACATAAAACTTAAAGGTGCTTTATTGGGATTTAATGTGACAGACTTTAACAAAAGCAGTGTCTAAATTGTGACGTGGAAAGAAAATGATACACAGCTTACTGAATTTTTATAAAAAAAGAAAAATAAAAGTATGCTGTGCTATTGATTCAATACATCTAAAACAATATTTTGCAAAAGCATCTTTTGGAGCAGTTATACCAGAAAGACTATCCGATTTTTTCTTACCATATTTACACCTCAAGAAGGACAGCAACGCAGCCTGTTTAGATGGATGCATGTGTCTTTGAAGGTTTGCTACACTGCTTGGATTGAGATTTTGTAAAATGTAAAAAAAAAAAAAAAAAAACATAATTTCTTTTGATTCACAATAATGCACTATTTTGTTAGTCTATCACATAAAATACATCAAGGTTTGCAATTGTGATCTTAAAAAATGTGGAAAAGTTTAAGGGTTATGAATGCATTTATCATCTTCTCTGGGCATTGGTCTCTAATGTGCTCATAGCAACCCACTAAAGTGATTCTGCAACACACACAGGGCTCAAAATAATCAGTCAGCTAGGAGAGGGTGTGTGTTGATGTTCTTTAGTTTAAAGTAGCATCTAATGAATTGTAGCATGCTCTTTGGTGCACTGTTAGTCATTTCCTAATGAACCAATCTGTTAGAATGTCAATCAACTGAAATGGTGGCACTTTGCTGATAGCATGCTACCTGACAGACTGTTGGTTGTATGCAGCTCTACACAAAAAACGCAAAGTTCATAAATCGAATACAATCTCATAATCTGTTCCAGCAGTAAGCTTCATGTTCTGGAGAAATCCTCAAATAAGAAGTGTCCTGGATAAAAAGTCGTAGGTTAGTGCATGTTCTGTGCGAGTTAGAATTAACAAGAATGCCAAAATGGAAATATCACTCCACGTCCTGGGAAATGCAACGAGCAAATAAGAGCATTTTAAATCCATCAGGACGACATTCCATACGTCGCACAGGCACCTACAGTACAACATACCGTTTGAATGCCGGTCGGAAAACTCTGGAACGAAGGGGACACGAGAAAGGAGGGGACACAAGGTAGGAGAATGATAACAGGGAGGATGAAGAGGTAAAAATTGTGAAGAAAAGAAATTTTAGAATAGAGGGCAAAAAAGTCTCTGGGTGGAAAACAGCAAGACAAGGTGGACACACCAGACAGAGCAGCTGCTTGTTCTCTGTGCATGAGAAGGAGTACCTCGTAAAGACTGCCCTCTCATTTTTGGCATCCACAGTCAGCCGGATAGTCTCCTTCCCTGCACCTGTGGTGATGGTCTCCGTGGTAACCGTCTCACTGGAAGTGGACTCTGTCTTTCCTTCCTCTTCATCGCTGTCAGAGCTGCTGGAGGAGGAACTGTCCGATGCCACAAGAGGAGCTTTTCTTGCCACACAAGCACTCCACACGCATGCTGCGAAGGAAAGACAAAAAAAAAAGTCTGTCTTAAACTAAGATTGTCATTTAAAACAAAAAAAAAAAAACATAGTTAACATAATTCAGATAAAACTACATGGCATCAACCAATGCATGGCATCCACATGCTTCATCATGTTGTAAAACCAGAGTGGTTTATCGATTCTGAAGGATGGTTTGATCTTTCTTTCATGAAAGTAAACATTTGTCAATCTCTAGACCTTTGGCCACAACTGCAGAGGAAGAGCAGGTTTTTGGAGCATGTAGCAACCAGTAAAGAGCTGATGAAGTTTCTTAATGTCATGCATTGGTGCAGTGGTTCCCAAACCTTTTCTCCTGGGCCCCCTAGTGGTTTCCAAACTATTTCTGGGGCCCCCCCATGGCTTACAAACTGCTGTCTGGTTGAACGATGTGTGTGAGCNAANGGGGTGGGGGGTGGATTCCTAGAGATCCCCCACCCCCTTTCTTGGGGGTGGGGGTCTGCCGGGGCAGAGTATACTCCAGATGAACAAGGGGGGGAATCAACTTTTGGGGGGGCAAAATGAATTGTAGCTGAACATAGACAACACCAGTAGCCTAAGCTACTTGTTAACAAGCTTAAGGTGCTGTTTTGATATTAGCTAGTCATCTTTTAGCTAACTTTACCTGCATCCAACAGCTTTACTCAACTCAGTCGGTTAGTTTGGGGGAAACTGTGAAAGGTTCTTTGCGTTTTGCTGGTTTGCTGCCATAATTCTAACACACCTGCGTAGCTCTGCACAGCAGCAGGTCTCCTTCACAGGTGTAAACCCAGCGCGAGCGTTGTAGCGCTCATGTTGCGTTTAAAGGCGGCTCGGAAAAACAGGTTACAACATGTTAACAATGGATTAAACAGTTTTAACTGCTGATAAAAGTGACAGAGGACACAGATATGGGAAGTGTGGAAGCCCCTATTGTATCAAATTGACAGAGGAATAACAGAGAGTTGGCCATTCAAAGGTGTTTTTTTTGTTTGTTTTTTTTTTCATCCAGACGGCTTCCCGTGCCCCCCCTGCAATGGCACGGCGCCCCCACTAGGGGGCACGCCCCACAATTTGGGAACCTCTGCATTGGTGTATGCATGACGCTATGTGGTTGTGCAGATGGTTCTTAAGATGCTGTAATGCTGGAGCCAGTAAGTGCATAGCCACATGCATAGTTGTAAAAAGTGCTGCATATGCCAGGTACCTGTCAGGGATTATATAACTCAATTTATCATTTGAACAGCCATTCTGCATCAACTCACGGTTGGGGTTTGGTTTGGTGCTGTCTGAACCGCTGAGGTCCGAGTCCACAGGAGAGCTGCATCTGGGGCCCGTTTCAGAGCTGCTGGACATTTAATCATCAAACATAAAAGCCTAACTTGCATGCATAACTCAGACAAAATTTAAAAGTCAGAGTTAATTTGTGTCCTTCATAACCTTGTTGAAGTGCATATATTTGTAAAGGAAAGTATTTTTTTTAACAGCAAAATTTTCTGAATACCATCAGTTATCACTAATGTGAAGGAACTAATATTACTGGTGTCAGTTTGTGATATCGCAAAAAGATAGTTGAAATTAGATTATTCTATCTAACCAAAATTAATGACATACAATATTTTTTCAGATTTAAAGGCTAAGGTAAAATTAATAATTCAGTACAGGTGACAAGCAAAATGAAGGCATTTAAAAAAAAATAAAAAATACTCCAACTATATTTTAAACTAAGGAAACTCACCAACAGAAAGGCTGAAAATCTGTGAACTTGGCCCACCCTTTATCTTCCGTCTCTGTTGCAGCTGGCTGGGAGACCGGAGCGTCCCAGGGGGAAAACGCTGCTCCAGCCGCAGGAGCTGTGGAGTTCACCTCTCCAAAGTCTGCAACCCAGTCAGAACCTGACAAGACAAAAAAAAAAAAAAAGAGTAAAAGACACTAACTCTGATACTATGTTATACTGTACAAATGTTGCAACATGAACATATATCTTACTTGGAGGTGCACCTGTCTGGCCCTGGCTTGAAAACGGATCAAATTCGTCTTTATTGTCTTCCTCCTCAGAATCAGAGTCTGCAGGTCTGTCAGGAGCGTCGGTGCTGGAAGCTGCTGTCCTCTCACACGTCTGACTGGCTGCTTGGCTTTGGGAGGAAGGGGAGCCACCGAACCTTATCAAAAACAAAACTATACACTTAAATATGTCTATGCAAGCTAATACAGAAATTTCATATTTAGAATAAAGCATTTGAAGGTTTTCCCATTTTTCTAAGTTTACGACAACAAGCTTCAATGTATTTTGAGTGAATTTGATGTGGTTCATCGCCACAAAATAGCAAATAAGGGGAGTCCAAAATCTATGCAAGTTTTTTTATCTTTGTTTGCAAATATAAATTTAGAATCAGTTTTCTACCACACAGAGTTTTGCATCATTTTTTTCTTCCACTCCAAATTTATACACATCTTATTTAACCATTATAAAACACTATGATGTTTGTGGCTAAGGGAATGCAAATATCAAGCATTGTACTGAAATTAATAGAGGATTGTGTCAACCTGTTTCTTGACTTTGTTTGTGCTGCATAGTTGATTTCTTTTTCCTCCCATATGTCTTCTTCATCATCATCAAAAGGCTGAATCCTTTCTTTAGAACAGGCCTCAAACACAGCTGTGTTGGCCTGCAAAAAATAGGGCTACATTTTCAATACAGTATCAGGAGTAAGTATTCTCTTTGATCCCAAGAAGTTTGAAAAAAAAAAAAAAAAAAGCAAGAAAGATCAAAAGGTATGAACGATATAAATACACTCACGGTGTCATGGCCTGCATCAATGTTGATATTGATCTCAGCAATCCGGTCAAACGTTGCACTGAAACGAAAAAGAATCACCCAGTCAGCACAGAAACTACTGAGCTGATTGGAGCAAAGAGAACAGGCGTCAGTTCATTTACCCAATGTTGTCGTCATGATCCGTGAACTCATCGTCATTAAAGCCAAACTGATCTACAAAGTTAGCCGTCATCTGCTGGATCTGATAGTCTGAAAAGGCCTTGAAGACAAAACCGCAACAGTCAGAGCACAATGGATTATGAAACAAAACCAGATTATTTAGTCAGCTCATTCATGTATACCTGCTGCATTGTCAGCTCTTTAGGGAAGGGGCTCTCCATGTCATCCTCTGAAGAAGATCGAGGGTTTCCGGTTCCGACCTAAACGCATCAACATGGATAATTTAACTTTCTGCATTTGAATAAAAACACCTACTACATACTGTCGAACTTACCAGGTCTATGGTGTTTTTTCTATTGGTTTCTGACAGTGTGTGTTCCACAAAGGTTTCCCAGCGCCCTCTGTAGTCCTCTGGCAGCTCTGCATCCAGCAGAACAAATAATTTTAACATTTCTGCGTGAATGTGTACAATTAAAGCTTTGTTTGCATTACTATCAATCGTACCTGCGATAAGGTTACTGATTTGAGTGTGAACTGGGCCTTTTTCCAGGTTGTGCACCACAGTGTTGGCAATCCTTGTCAAATGTCCCATGTATCCTCTTCTCATGCCGCCTTCTGACCTGACCGAACACATTATACTTTTAAAATCTGGTTTTATGTTCATGATGCAAAATTTGATTATAATGCCAAAGGTCCTTACTGGATTTTATCATTCTCCTCCCAAGCCTCCAGAATCCTCTGGATAAGGTGGCAGTGTTGGAACAACTTTCAAGAGAAAGAAACATTTAGGTAATAAAACTCAAAAAAAAAAAAAAAAAAAAAAAAAAGGTCATGTCATTTAGGTTGACTAAAAGATATCTGGAAACAAAGAGACTTACATGAGTCACCATTAAGTTGTGGGCAGAGTTGTCGGAGGTGACTGAAGGTTCAGAGGTTGGGGATTCACTTGTATTCTGCTCTTGAGGTGCGTCTGGAGAAGGCTTGGACTTATCCTGGGAACTGAAGCCGGGCTGCAGTCTCATTTCATGGGCACACGGCCGGACGATGGCAGCAACACAAAGCTCCGCTTGAAGGTGCAGGAAGTTGTTCCAGTTGTACTTAAAGAATAAGTCCTGAAAATGGCAGACATTTTACACATTACAAAAACACCTGCCTTTGTTTAATTATACTTTTAATATATTAACACAACAAAATAATTCTCGACATTTTTTTTTAATTAACTGAATCATTTCTATTTAAATTGTCACAGACACATATTAATTCATTGATACAAAGTATTTAACTGTGACACGTTTGAACCATGATGCTGAAGTCATAACATTCTGCCCAATAAGCACCTAAAAACTACTACTAAATTCATGAATTGTTAATTCCATAGTTCTTGTTTGGGTCTACATATCAAAAGAACAACAAATAAGTGTTTTTTATATATATATATATATATATATAAAACATTAGTCTAAATGTGATAATCATGTAATTTAGAAGGAACAGGGATAATTGTAGGTTTTCTGTTTTAAACAAAAACAATCAGATCAGGTATTTTAATTAAAAATGTTTGTGTATAAGTCATGAAGTTGTTAAAGCCTCGTGTTTTTACTGGAGGTCATCAAACTGCAAGACTCTCCTAGCAGCTCATGCGTAATCTCCACAATTTGAGGATACTGTGCAACTACAGTGTGTCTCACCAGAAGGAGATCCATGGTATTGAGCCTGCAGAGCTCCTGAGCTACGACTGCGTGGCTGGCAGAGCTGGTGTAAAGCAGAGAGGCCACGAGTCTGGCCACATGCAGGCGTGTGTTCCCCAGCGGTTCCTCCAGCACACCCAGAGTAGTCAGCATGGGATCTCGCTATAAAATCCATAAACGGCAGAGATTTTCAGATCCTATACATGGCGTGAATGTTTTTGGTTACCTGAATGACCTATGAATTATCTTTTCTGTGTTTCTGTACCTTAGGTGGTTCCAGAAGTAGCTGGTGAAAGTGAATTAGGTGTGGTTGAATAGCCAACAAAATGCTGCTGTTAATGGTGTAACTTCTCTCAAACCCCTGAGCATCCATGACACCATCCACCCTGTCATAAAAACGGACGTTTAAACAGATTTATAAATGAAAACAAAATAAAAAAGGTGCATAAAACACAGATGAAACAATCAGTAGAGATCGATTAAAGTATAAGTAATCATTTGAAAATATGTGAAAATGCTTAAAATGAAATCAGAGTCTCTTACACAGGCCTACGGATCTCCAACAGGGTCAGAAGAACTTGAATCCCACTGACAATGCAGCTTTCAGCCCTCTCTCCTGAAAACATATTCTGAAGCAGCTGCTCGACACACTCCTGCCTGTAAAGACACACCGAAGCATGTTATCATCTCCACAATCAGGTCGGTGAGAGTAAAAGTCTGCGACTTACGATTCCAGCACAGCGAGCAGCGGGTCGGGCTGGGAAATCTCTTGCAGCTGACTGGCCTGATCTCTGCTGAGACGAATGATGTCACACAGTGTCTGAGAAGCGTTTGTCTGCCTCTGTGTAGAAAAAGAAAAAAAAAAGAAAAGAAAAAAAAAATGAGGCAAAGATATTAGCCTTTTAACATTTTTCTCTCCTAAAAAACAATTTTAACTTTTATTTAAAAAAAAAAAACAAAAACAACAACTTTTCTCATCTACCTCTTCATCTCTCTCAGGGTGAATGAGCTCTATGAGTCTCTGGGCCAGTTTCTGTTCATTCAACCACTAAAAGGGGCAAATATTACAATAAATGACACAGCAGAGAATATTTGGATTAAAAACATTAAACAGGAAGCTTTGCTTACAGTGAGGGTCTCGAGCCGAAGTGGAGGTGGCTCCACACAGCTGATAAGGCGTAGCAGCACATCCATCATGGCAGACGTATCTATATGCTTCAGGACCAATGAAAGGAATCCTTCCTTTTTTCGCAGGAAACTGATGACCTGCACAGCACAGACATCGAATAAACTGATGTGACAACGTTTTGATGATGTACAGATGTGCAGAGTTGCTCTAAGCACATAAAAAGTGAACACGCTGCATTAGAGCTGCATTTTCAAGAAACGCACAATGGTGCAGTTGTAAAAGCCTTTGAAAAAAAAATGTTACTTGAGAACCTAATAGACTAGAACAAAGTATTGCATGATTGCAAGTTGGCAGGAAAAATCTATATAGTTTTTATTCTCCCCCCCCGCCCCCCAACTGTACTAAGCGTTTGAATTTAGCACCAGCTACAAGAAAGCTTGTCAGAGCTTAACAAAAAACTTAGCTTAGATGTGCAAAGTTGCAAGCGACATATCCAAAATTACTTCCAGCACTACTGCAGCAAAAAACTGTTTCAGCCAGGTATTGCTCCAGGGAAGCTGAATACAAATGGAAAGCACTTTTTTTTTGTAAACCATGTATTCACATAACTTTGAAGTTATGAGTGACTTGGTCTATCTTATAAAATCTTAAGATATAAGGAAGTGTGTGGTTGTAAATGTGCCAAAATGTGAAAAGGTTTTACAGCCAATGCAGTAAACAGTGATTTCTAAAGTAAATTTATTCATGTAAACACAAGTCTCCATGTGAAATACGACATTTTTTTTCAACAGTTTCTTTAGGAATGTTTTACTTCTTGGAACTGCTGGATAATTTAACCAAGCAAATCTTGGCTTTTAAAATGAAAAATAATTTGAAAGCTGGCCCATCTGGATGTTCACATTTCAACAGTGGCAAAACTTGAAAGCCATCCCAGGTGACGGTTAATCTCCCTGTGAGCATTTTCATTTAAATCCAATCTGAATTCAATCACAGGGACACAGAATGTAGCCATCTCTGTCTATGATTATCTGCATTATTGTTGCAGTAGGCGTGTGTGTATTACCTGCTCAGTCTTCCGTGCTATTAGATTCCCAATTGTCTTGCTGAAGAAGGAGGCCAGGAGGGGGTTAAGCGGGGACGGCTGCTCCAGGAAAGCATACAGGTTTTCCAGCAGAGGCTCCTCATTTCCGAGCTTATCATTGATCACCCCTACATCACATGTCAGCAGCTCACATGCTATGTTTGGATACCTGAAAAAAATGTTTTCAATAAAATCAATCAAGACAAAGTCAATCAGAAATGAGTGCTAATGTTGAGCACTTTAGTGCACAAGGTATGCTTAAATAAATATGACTTTGATTAATTTGAACTATTTTGCCTTCTTAAATGCATGTGAAAAGTTTAGCTGTGATATTTTTTTTTTTTATTCAACCCTAATAAACTCTAGGATAAAGAGGCAAGTAAGCAATCCATTACTGTGTAAAGCCAGAAAAACTTTGCTTTTCCCTGCTTCACATGAAAACACTCACTTGAAACGTTTGGTCTCTTCTGCGCCAGCAGGGGGTTCTGTTGTAATCAAACGAACTAGCTCTTGCATGCATTGGTCCTGGCAGAAGAACTGGAGGAGTCTGTGAATCCATCACAGAACAATATGCTCAAGACAGCAGAGGCAGAGACTGTCGGCTTAAAAGTCACTTTAGAGTGCTAATGCGTATAGGGGATCAATAAATATACCTCCTGTTTTGGGCCTTGCACTCCTGCAGCACGTCTTCCTCGTCCATGAGCTCAGTGAGGGTGACATCCTCCTTGTCTAGCAAAGCCTCCAGATGAGAGGATGTGTGCAAGTCAAACTTCCAAAACATTGTTGGCGTCAGCAGATCTAAAATTTGGCTGCCGAACAGAGGGGGATGAGGTACGAAGCTTAGGAACATAGATTATTGGCAAGCACAAAGTCCCGCACTTGAATACATTTTAGAAACAAACAAATGGTATAAATTGTCTTACAGATGAACAAGGAGGAGCTCTCACTAAACAGCCATCTGCCTTATGATCAGAGCCCGGTCATCAATCGACATCTGCAGATTCACACACTCAAGTCACTCAGCAGCAGCAGCAAACACACAAGCCCAGGAAACTGCCTTTGACCTGGTGAGGAAAGGGAATTTAGAAGACAGGAAATAAAGTCAGAAAGATATTCTCTCTGTCTTTAAGCTGAACCAAGGCTGAGCATTCTTCTGAGGGAGGAGCAGGAAGCATTGATTCTGCAACTGAACTATCAGTGCCTACTTGTGTATTGATATCACACAGTTTACTTTGAGGTTTCTCTGAAGACCCATCAGCAAACGTCAACTGGCTTCAAGACTAATAGAGATGGTTACTGAGAACTCTAGGAAGAAAACAAGAGGGGTCAGATAAAAATCTGAATTAGGGAGAAGACTCACTTATTCACCTCGTGGGATTGATCTTAATAAAACTGACAAGAACTTGGTGCCTTTTACAACCACAAGAATTTTACAACCACAAATAGCTAACACCTTTAAATGCAATCATCAGAGATGTCTACTACATACAAACTGAGGCTTAAAACAACTATCTAAGGCTGTATTTGCCTTTAGGCAACAATAAAAACAGAGCTACATAGATAACTTATAGAATTATAATTCTGTTATGTGGCAAGCAGCATGGAAGAAGTGAGCTTTTTTTGTTTTACAAAATCAAACATGTATTCTCAACTAGTTAAGTTGCAAATAGCTAACCCTTTCAAACACAAGATTTTAATCTTGCTGCATTTGAGCCAGAGCTCTGACGATGTGGATGGAAGACCTGAAATAAAAAGCTGACAATGACAACCATCAACCTTTGAGCCGAGACAAAAACGCTCTTATTTATATTTGAATTTCTCATCTAAATGGTTTCTGTGCATATTCATCCAGTTGTAAAATTAGTTTACAACTTTAAATAGTCATAATTGTCCAGCACAGTAATGAGAAGCTGGTAGAGTAGGCAAAAATTGTGCTCAAGTAGTAAGGTTACTTCAAAAATATTATTATTCAAGCATAAGAAGAAAAAAAAAAACAAGTAAAACTCCAAGTAATACTGTTGTAAATGTAACTCATTACTACCCACCTTTGACTACAGCACAGAATCCAGTCTGATATCATTATGCTTTAACTTACCCAAACAACGTCTCTCTTTCTGGCTGAAGAGCGACTGAATTTATGTTTTCTCTCTGTGTCTAGCTGATGTTGACTGCAACAGTGGTGAAATAGGAAGAAGGCACACACACTTTGGGATAAACTAATCAGATTTGGCTAAATCTATGTCTGTCTGCCTGTTGACCTTTTTTGTTGAAGTAGCAGATGATCCCCAAGTGCTGTAAGAAACTGTTGAAAAGAACATAATCCTTATGGACTTTATTAACCAAACTATATAAATTTTTGTTGTTTTATAACAGAGTGGTTTAAAATGATTGAAGATCTACTGAAGATCTATTTTAACTCATAAAACATCAACATGTTTTACAAGTCTAGTGTAATCCTGTGATGTAACAATGAAGGTCATGTCAGAGAGAAAGATGATGTCCAAGTAAAGGACAATATGCATTATCTGAATGATGTACTGGCCACGCACAGTCTGAGCTTGTTGATTGTTGAGCGAAGGACTGATTCTGCCTTGATGCACTACATAACAAAATCCTCCCTACATGTAGCCATCAGAGCATATACCTCCTCAAAATCATCACAAACACAGGCTGTCACCATGATGATAATGCTTTTTGCAAAGTATTGCAAACTTAAACAGAATACCGAGTAGTTTTGCATCCATTTGAATTTGATCCCATTTTTGTTCTACAACAATGTGTTTAAGAATTTGCATTAAAATAAACATTTAATCTGCCACAAACGGATGCACTCTAAAGAACTCTTGATTAGTTGCTTAATGTGATGTCATTGTTGTTTTATGAGTGTAATTTTTAGCCAACAAGTTCCAAATAAATACCAAAACAAATAGCAAAACTGACCATCCCATGTTGTTCTATATGAAAAAAAAACAGCCTGGTTGATTTTACTTATAGCTTGGTAGTTTTAACAAGTGTGTCTGTGATCTGATATGAGAAATAGAGCTTTTCCCAAAGGTGCAAAAGGCATTTTTAAATGAAGCTAAGACGAGAAAAAGCCGGACCGAGGTCAGCTTTCGGAGGCCTTTCAAGCACACTGAGTGCAGCTGTAAACTGTTAAGTATTCCCTGAAATATTGAACTAAATCTGAGTAACAACAATATCAGGGAAAATGTTCCTCAGCTAATCATACAACTTATCTTTTTCAGCGTGACCCATCGTTTAGCCCCGGTGTCTTTTCACACTTACCGTTCGTGCACATAAAGTAGCCCGCTAGCACAGCCTCCTTCGCTCTGCCGACGCTGCAAACTAATTTAATACGGTGGAGACATGGTGCATTTAGATCCTCAGCTAAGATAGAGCTGTTATTTATCACAGCTGCGGGCTACAGTGTGTTGTGAGACAACGTCCTCCTCGTTCAGACCTAGCTTCAGTGTCTTCCTCCGCCAAGTTAACGCAGCGAGGTAGCTCGAACAGTCTTGTTTTATATATGTATATATATATATATATATACAGCGGACGCTGTTTCTTCCGAAACGCAACCGGTTCTTACCTCTGTATCATCTTTTCACCGGTCGTTATATGCAGGGCTGAACAACAGGAATTGGCGACTTCGGCTGTCAGATGAGTGTAAGGCCCATAGCAGCCTGTAAACTGCGTTGTTAGCCTAACATCCTACTACCCCTTTCCTGGCTGCAATGTCATTTACACTCCGTTACACGGCGGCTGAGCAGCCAAGAGGATGTGTTGACACACGGCGGCCAGAAAAGCGAAGCAGAAAAGCTGTTTGAAATTTAAAAATGGCGACTGACTAAGATGTCATCAAATGGTTGGCTGTAAATCAACTGTGTAAACATAAGTGTATTTTATTATTACTATTATTTTTTTATATATATATCTCCAGAGGCGTTGCTAGTAGCTAAGTGCATCGGAGAACGCCCCCTTCCTTTTTTAAGCAGCAATGCAGAAAAAAAAACAAACAAACAAAAAGTTAACAAACGAGTAAACTTTGAAATAAGTAGTTATACTTATAATCAGAAACCAAACCATTAATTAAAAACAAAAGATAAATTGGTGCACTGGTGGCACAATGATAACGTAGACAATTAATTCAGAATGATGCATTTGGCCAACACTTTTAGGAGTCCTAAAGCCATCTTTACTGCAAATAAACCTTATGACGATTTTGAAGATCAAGTTTTTGCACTCTTGCTCACACCTGAGTTTTTAATGCTTTCTTTGAGTTAATATATGAAAATAACGAGCTTAAGCATATCTGCACTTTCTTTAACAGTCAGTCTACTTGATCTCTGTTACCATTTCCCATCATCTCAGGTGCTTTTGATATTAACACTGAAAAAAAAATAAGCTCATAATTTTGTATCAGGGCAAACATGAATTGTATTTCTTTTGCTATTTAGGCTATTTACAATTTTAAAAAAATGTCTGAACGTTTGATCTTCATGCACAATAATCTAAAATCTAGCCAAAGGTGTGTGTTTTTTTTTTTTTTTAGATTGTAACATGTTTCACAATGAAAACCTACATTTATATTGAAGGACTGGGCTTATATTTTTACTCCAGTTTACAATTCAGTCCTTGCTCAGTGTTCATTGTCTTCAGCCTAATCTGGTTAATATCAAGTTTTTGTCTATACATAACAATGAAAAGAGTGTTACTTCAACCACAGATTTCAATTAACAACTTGCCACAACTTTGTTTTGAGTCATGTAGATATTAAATGAGAGAAATTAACATTTTGTTTCTCTTGCATCACTACTTTGACAAAACATAAAGTTAGATAATTTGGGAAATATTCTATGACTGTGGTTTAGCTATAAGGGATATTTTTAACCACACAACCTTTGATAGGTTTCCAAAAACTACTTTTTTCAGTTTATCTTGATAAGTAATTTAGAACCACTATCACTGTTACCTTCTGCCATTTGTTTAATCATTTAATACAACAGAGAGCTTTGCAAAGAGGTTGTCTTTAAAATGTGTGGATGCTGAAGGTAAATTTACAGTTAGGCTTCACTGGTCTCTGCTTGTTACTACATATTCTGCCACCATCTGGTCAGTCTGTGTATGTATACAATACAGAGCAGCTCACACTGCATTTACATTATGACAACAATAGAGGTAACGTCAATTAACAACTAAGTATTAAAATGTAAATTGTATATATTGAGTTTATGATGAGAAAAAAAAGATTGAAATTTGTTAAGAACATCATGTATCACTGGCTATTTTTATTGACCATTACCTTGTTATTCCTTCAAAATATCACCATTTTACATCCAATATTGTAGAATGGTGATTTTGCAAACACTGACATTGCAATAACAATTTGTTATATTGTGCAGCTCTAAATGTGACCAATATACAACTCAACTGTGAAACAAACTAAAATATCTTATGAAGAATAAAATGGTATGCCCCAAAGTGTGCATACTCTTAAATTAATTTGTGTGGAAAGAGTTCCTCTTCATCTTCAGCTTTTAATGAGAAGCTTAAATGTTTTGTGCAAGCATTTGAAACTGTTTATATCTTCATCCACAATTACTAAGGGTTTGCTCCTGCTGAAGAAATAAAGCATCAAACATGATGGTGCCATCACAATGCTCACAAAGAAAAAAAAATCACCAAAAAAAAAATATATACTTTTGGGAGTAACTCCATATTATATGGGAGCCTCAAAAGTATGATTTTAGCTGAGAATCTTTGTGCAGGTGTAGGTCGCAATAAAAGTGCAAATAGCTTTTAAATAGTCTGTTTTTTTTTCTTATTCTTCTTACATCACACAAACCTGGCATTTTGACAAATCTATAACTACTGTACATTATCAGTTACATTTCAGTCTACGTAGAAATATTTTAAATGTATACGTTTTGGAGAAAAAAAAAATGCTAAAGGTAATTAAAAAATAACTTTAAAAGTTCTCAGTAAGTTTGTCATAATTCATACATGAATGGGTTAAAATGGTTCCCAACCCTGGATAAAACTGCGAAGAAGCGTAGTGTGTGGATTAGAATGAACGAACAGCCCCAACCGGTGAACATTGTGTAGCTCGTCTGATTCTCCGCAGAAGCTCTCACTCTGGTAGCGGGTTAGCACCATGGCGAACGTTGCGGACACTAGGCTATACGACATCCTCGGAGTTTCACCTTCTGCCTCTGAAAACGAACTAAAAAAGGTACGTCTCTTCTAAAACGAAAAACAAATATCTCGGGACTCAGGAGGAAAGGTGAAGTTGACGAGTTAAAAGTGTTGTTTTGGCCTAAAAAGAACAAAAACCAGTGTGGGAGTAAGCTAGTTAGTTTACTGATTTGAAGCTAGTCTCGAAGGTTCCTAGCATGCTAGCCAGCTGAAATACTCATCTGCATCGCGTTTTTAAGCATGAACTCTGACGATGCTAGAGAATTACCTATAAAATTGTTAATGTTATCATTCGCAGTTGCATTTTAAGGTTGTAGGTTCTTTATTTTAAACCAGAGGAATACTCTACACTGATAGAGGTTGCCGGTTAAACCAGTTAACCTAGCTGTGGTTGTTTTGCTAATCCTGCCAATTGTGTATAAATTATATTCACTTTAATTTTTTTCACCAATATTAAACCTAAGTTAATGCTGTAGAAAAACTTGTGTTGGGACAAATGCAGGTTCTGTAAATAGATATTAGCATGTAACTGTGGTTACTCCACGGCCTTCTAGAAAAACCTCGTGTAACTGTAGCAACCAAAACATACATTGTGTACTTTCCTTTTACACGTTATTGGTCTAATGGCTAGATTCTAATTGACATAAATTTAGATGATAAAAACCAGAAGTTTAGTCAGAACTCTTTCGGTATTTTCCTTTTTCAATAACTAATAAAGATATTTTAATATGAGGCTTTGAAATTCCCTTTCCCAGAGTGACCAGTTTTCAAAGTCTGCCAGTTTTCAAACGATGAACGCTGGCTAAGATATCAGTTTTTTTTTTTTTTTGCCTGTTGCGTCAAAAATAGCACATTGCTGAATTTTGTTTTGATCCCTTGCCACTCATTCTTAAGGTAGGTTGTCCTAATTATTTATGCAAAATAGGGGCATAGCTTTCTAGCCTCTAAGAACAGAATTTTGGATCACAGTATATTCACACACAAATGTAGATAGACTTTTTTTTTTTTTTTTTTTTTTACATAATTTTAATGTCAAATTTACCTCTACTTTTAAGTATTTGACATATTACATTTGGTATGGCTGTTCATTATTCTACACAACAAAAATAAAAAATAATTCTTATCTAAAATAGTTTACAATTGCCATTGTAAGGAGCTGTTATAATTACACCATTGTTTTTTTTTTTAAATTTTTTATTTTATCTTCTCAAAAGATAATTAGAAAATTAGGGTACTAAAAAGCTGTTTTTTTTAATCAGTAATAATTTACACTTATAAAAACAAAGATGTTATGTCACCTTGAGCAGGTGGATAAAGTAAATAAATTCTTAGAGTTGTAAAAGCTAATAAGGTAGCTGGACGTAGCCATTTTAATCCACTTCATCAGCTGACTTTTAATGCCCAGATCATTTTTTTCCCCCAACAACTACAGCACCTGAAAAGCACAAGAACATATATCTTTGACACTGTTGCAAAACAGGGAGTCTGACACAAATCCAAATGTGCTACTCTATTATTGGTGAAGCTAGAGCAGTTTGATGAGTCGGAGATGATCTGGCAAATTCAGCAGGGTCACTCAACATAGCTCTATGTAGGAACACATAGAGCATATTTGAGATTTGACAACATTAGCAATATGAGCAGTTAGTTCATTGAAATGAAACAAACTGTTAAGTCCCTTGTTCAACAAGGCCAAGTCACACATTTTCTTAATCTTTGAATTTTTCCCTTTGTTCCAGGCTTATCGGAAATTGGCTAAAGAGTATCATCCTGACAAGAATCCTGATGCTGGTGACAAGGTATGAACCTGCAAAACATTTAACACTATGTTTAGGTGTGGCCATAAGACTCAGTTTTAAAGTAGACATCTAAAAACTGTGACCAATATGTAAAACTTCACCTAAATATTCAAGATTACACATAATTTCAAATTGTAATTCTAGGTGCAGATGATCACTACAAAAATACAAATTTTAAGTAAAAAAGCACAAAATAATTAAAACACAAGTGTACTTAGATTGTTTTTACTTTTATAAAGAGCACCTGAAGTTCTGATATGTTTAATTTATTGAAATATAGAATATTCTTTATTTTTTTTGCAGTTCAAAGAAATAAGTTTTGCTTATGAAGTGTTGACAAACCCTGAGAAGAAAGAGCTTTATGATCGCTATGGAGAGCAGGGCCTTCGGGAGGGAGGCGGCGGCGGCCCCGGCATGGATGATATCTTCTCCCACATTTTTGGCGGAGGACTCTTCGGCTTCATGGGCGGCCGGGGAAGTCGAAGCAATGGAGGCAAGAGGAGAGGAGACGACATGGTGCATCCTCTGAAGTGTGTATTTCACATTTTCCAAGTATTTTGACAGCTCCAATAAGTTGTTCCATAATAACATGATATTGTCTGAAAACCCTCATCTCTCAGAGTGTCTCTTGAAGACCTGTACAATGGAAAAACTACAAAGCTGCAGCTCAGTAAGAATGTGTTATGTAGCGCCTGCAATGGGTAAGTTCATCTGTTTTATTTTACATTTTAAACCTGACTGTTTTAAAACCTTTCTCAACATCTAAGTAATAAATACAAAGTTCCATAGTTTTAATCAGAGGTTTTTCTGAGTTTAGGACAGTATTTTTTTTTTTTCTTCCTCCACATTTTTCACTCATCAGTTTTTCAAACAATTTCACTATAGAGATAGAATGATGATCATATGATATAATGATGTGATGATATAATGATTAACATGTAATTTTATATGAATTATTTAGATACACAGATACTACAGCAAAAACAGAATAATCACCTGCTCATTTCTAGATCAAGTGGTCTGTTTATACAGAATCATATACATATTTGCCATTCTCTTTATAATGTACAATTTCAGTTTTCTTAGTTTATTTTTAAGATTGTGTAACGTGTGGAGTACTGATAATAATGCTGCTTATTTGTACCTTTTGACTTGTAGTCAAGGGGGTAAGGCAGGAGCAGTACAGAAGTGTGTGGCATGCAGAGGAAGAGGAATGAAAATCATGATCAGACAGCTGGCCCCAGGGATGGTGCAGCAAATGCAGTCTGTCTGCACCGACTGCAACGGAGAGGGTAACACTTCGACACAAACACACACCCCGATATCGGAGCCATACTTTTTTTTTTTTTGAAAAGTATGAGTGCATATTTTTGTCCAGGTGAGGTGATAAATGAGAAGGACCGCTGCAGAAAGTGCGAGGGTCAGAAGGTTTGCAAGGAGACAAAACTTCTGGAAGTTCATGTGGACAAAGGCATGAAGCATGGCCAGAAGATCACATTCTCTGGGGAAGCTGACCAAGCACCAGGTGTTGAACCAGGAGATATCGTTCTGGTGCTTCAAGAGAAAGACCATGAGGTAAACTCAAAACATTTATAATTGACCTTTGATACTGCTAAAGGTTTTGAAATTAAATCATCATCGCTTTATTTGATAAATCTTTGCCAATAAATCAAATTGAAAAACATTGGGTTTTAATCTAAACAGGAATTCCGACGTGATGGCAGTGACCTTCACATGGTCCAGCGCATTGGCCTTGTCGAAGCTCTGTGTGGCTTCCAGATCACCATCACACACTTGGATGGACGTCAGCTGCTGGTCAAATATCCACCTGGCAAGGTCATTGAGCCAGGTAAAAAAAAAAATTAATCTCATCTGCAATGATTCATATAACCCTGAACACACTACAGCCAGGGTGGTGGCAGTATAATGTCCTGGTGATGCTTCAGCAAGACGGGGGAAGCTGCCCAGTTAATTAAAAGATCAGAGGCGTTAAGACATATCACTATAAGGTTTACATATCATCTGATATTGACAATTATTATTATTTTTTTACATATATGAAATGCTACCTAATGGGTGGCGTTACCTTTCCACAGTTTTTACTCCACATCTTTGTTGTTCCTTTTTAAGCAGTTATGAGAGACATTGACGAAACCTTAAACTGCTGCTGAGCAAGTTACTCAACAGGTTGTTGCTAGGAAACCAAAGAATGAGTGACTGAGTTGATGCCACCAACCTTGCTTAGCTGGCCTAGACAGGTTGAGAGGTTTAAACTCTGCCTACATCCCCCAGAATTATGTGCAGTTTGGGAGTTCAGTGAAATTGTTGAATATTCTGTCAGATATATTATCTCTTTTCTTATTTAATTATGTGTGTATTGTGATATATATTACTGATTTATTGTCCTTTCCTACAATAAAGCTTTTTTAAAAAGTTGGAAGTGGCATTTTTATGAGAAGATCGTGTTTCTTATATATTCAACCCTTAACCCAAAGCTTTGTATGTGTTGTGTAGCTCTTAAATTACAAGTTTATACAGTATCGAAGATTCTACATCTTTATATTTACCTTCTCATTGATTTTAAATCACTTTTTTTTGTTGCAGGTTGTATTCGAGTTGTGAAAGGAGAGGGAATGCCTCAGTACAGAAATCCATTTGAAAAAGGAGATCTTTACATCAAGTTTGACGTTCAGTTCCCAGAAAGCAACTGGATCAGCCCTGAAAAACTCAATGTGAGCTTCCATAGAAGAACCTCTACATTTATGCTCTTTATAATGAAATGGTGTTTAGAACTATCACTTATTTGTGGTTTTGATGTCTCTTTAAGGACTTGGAGAACCTTCTTCCAGCCCGAGCTGACAATCCTGACATCGCTGCAGATGCTGAAGAAGTTGATCTTGCAGAATTTGACAGAAGTCAAGGGTCTGGCAGTGGAGGCAGGAGAGAGGTGTACAATGATAGTTCTGATGATGAAGGGGGCCATCACGGCCCCGGGGTGCAGTGCGCGCACCAGTAGAAAGACTCATACATAGACTTTCACATAAACACCCTTCAAGTTCCATTGCTAGCACTACTTGAGACCTGATGCACACGCACACACACACGCACACACACACTTCTCACTTCTCTTTTCATGCCTCCAGTGACAAGGTGATGCACAAAATCCCTTATAAAAAGTAAATAAGCCTCCCCCCTCAGTTCCATGGTTCCAGCACCTCCGCAGAGAGATCGCAGTTGAGTGATGAACGTTTTTTTGAGTTTGTAAATGTTTCCAGCAAGGAAGTCGGTCTTCAATCCTAAGCTTTATCGTTTTTTTCTGTGCACAACAGTCTACAAGCTCCAAATATTGACTATTTTGAGTCGAGGTGTGATTCAGTCTCAAAGGATTAGATGACAGTTCTTGCCAATGAGCATGGCTATGCTTTTCCAGAGTGACAAAAGAAATCACCTCACTTTTTAAAATTATATTCAAGAGCCCCGCTGTTACATATTCTAATCTGATTAGACTTCTAAATATTTAACCAGCCTCTATTTAATATGATAGTTAAACTTTAGGTTGTACTATCGTGTGCTGAAACTAATTTGCTTGTGCTGTATTTTTTTTTTTTATTTTTTTTTTTTTTTAGGTTTGTAGCCGTTACAAACGATTTGAAAGCCCTGAGCACCTGACACACCAATATTGTTCTCTTTCCCTTTGAGTGGAGTATAAACGTCTTTATGAATCTTTGCGTGTTTGAAACGACAAACCTTGCAGTTATATGTATTATTAGACTTGACACTTTTGTTTTAAATGCGGTGGCTCAGTGTTGGAGCTTTTTCAGAATATTCTAGCTTATTACTCTGGTTGGTGTTGCTGTTTTGCAGTGAGATTGGATACCAAATAAAGTGAGAGGAGGATGAACAATTGAAGTGTAGAAAATCTCAAATGTACTCCTTTCCCTCTTCTTACTTGGACTGCATTGTAGGAAAACTGCTTGGCACACACTCAACCTTCTGTATAGACATCTTCCTATTGTATGGTTACTAGCCAAACCAACGTCCCCTCACATGATGCAACATTTTCATTCTCATATCTGTATATAAAAACAGTACCAGTCAATGGGTGCATTCAACGTTTACCGAGGCGTCATTCTGCAGCTACAACACTTTCTCACAGAATTGAGCAATGGTCAATTTATAAATGTAAATGTTCTCATGAAGAAGGTTAACTGGAGCCACTCTTGGATGTTTACATGCACCTCTGTGACTCATTGTGTATGTAACTTTGGCTTCTTGGGATATTGTGCACAGGTGAAGGGGGTTCTAGTGAAATTTCATTATTGTTAATGCTTATGGTTGTCAAAGTGATAATTAAAATGTATATTAAACAACTGCATATGTGAATCTCAGTCTATTCAGTCACAGCCTACTGACTTAATTAGTTTCACAAAGAGAGACAAGTCTCGAATGAAATCAAAAATTACGCCCAAATGAGGTGTGAACTTTGAAAATGTTTATGGAGTTAAATGAAAATGTTTTGCCTCATACAGATTTTTTTTCCCTTGTTTCTTAGGTAAAACTTAAGTGCATCAGATCTTTAAACTGAATTTATCCTCAAAGATAATCTGGATATACAACATCAGATATTTTCTTTACTGGAGAAAAAGGTAACCTCGGTTACCCTTTTCTCTAAAAAGAACACAAAGTCCTGTCTCACATTTAGCAAAAAGAAACAAAAAACAAAACAAAAACATCTGGATGATCCTTGAGACTTGCGTGAAAATCTGTGGATTGACAATCAAAAAGTGGAACCTTTTGGAATGTGGCTCACCTGAACACATCATTTTAGAAAAAGCTCATCCCAACAGTTAAACATAGCTGTGGTGTGTGGCTGCCTTAACGATTGGCTGTAACCTGTCAGGCAATGAATTCTGTTCTACAAAATAACATCATCCTTTTGTGACCCAAAGTTCAACCTCACTTAACCCAGGTCAAGGATTCAAAGCACACCAGCAAGTCCACCTCTGAATTGTTAAAAAAACAGCAATAATTGGAAATTGGAAGTGAGGTATGCCTGGAAGCGTACTCAAAACCCCTCCAATGTGGCCTAAATAAAATGATTCTGGAAAGAACAGAGAGCCAACATTTCTTTAAAGAGATTTAACATTCATGTACTTGTCATTTTATGGAATTTTAAGCAAGCAGCCTTTAAAACTAAGGTCTTTATAGGGGCACATTTTCATGATTTTACTCTTAGTAAAAAAAAAAAATCTATTGAACAGTGCATTTTGAATTTTACCCAGGCTATCTTTGTCTGATATTAAAATATGATAATTTGAGCCATGCAACTGCTATATAAAAGCAAAAAAAGTGACATTGTGAGGAAAATATTTAATACTTTGCATTAACAGTGACAATAGGACCAAACAACTTAAACCATCTGTATCTCAGCTTGCTTCATCTTCCGACTCATTGTTGTTCAGAGCAACAGGAGCTAGAAGTTCCTTAAATCCTGTCGTATTCCTGAAGGATACAAGAGCACAGCCGTTTAAAATGACTCTTGTTTATTTTTTACTTCAAAGCAGTGCTATTTACCTGTCTCTTTTTGACTGCATGATATAGGAGCGCTCTCTTCTGAGTTGCTCCAGTCGCTCTTTAACAACAGTCTTCTGCTGAGTCTTGTCCTTCAACACAACATGTCACACTGTAATTATACATAACATATCAGATGTAACGATAAGCTTTCATCTTACCAGCAGTAGATCTTGTGTGAGATGCTTTAGCCTGTCTGAGTGTTTAAGGCCAAGCAAGTCTTCTTCTGCTTTTCTGTTGAGGATGATGGAGAGACGCTCCCGAACCTGAAAAACAATATTGGTGCACATTTTTGTCTGAAGGGCACATTTAGTGTCTTTTCTGTTCACGGTTCTCACCCTAAACATCTGTCTCTCTTTGTCTCTTTGGTGTTTCTGTTCAAACTTTCTCTGCATGTCCACCAGGCTGCGCATTGTTCTCTCTCTTTCCACTGCTGACACTTGATCTCTCATCAGTTCTTCCCGTTCCAGTTGATCCGTTCCCAACAATGTGGTTCTTCCAGAGACACTGGATGCTATCTGCTACATAAACAGATATTTATTTACAGTCGGCATGAAATCAACATTAGCCGACATAAAGACTTGAAAACATGAATTTTGGTGTAATTATAATGTGCTTCACTTAGTGACTAAAGTAAGTTAACTTAATAATTTCCTAATTTATTTAGTTGGCGTGTGTGCTTTATCTGCAATTTACCAAACGTTTAACCAAATTTTAATGAGTATAAGTATATATTTGGACCTGCCACAAAAATATTTGTGGCAGTGACAAAGTTATGCACTGTTGACAAAAACAAACAAAAAATGAATTACTGTTGATTCTTGAGAATGAATCATTTCCTCATTATCAGAGAGTTCCGACCCTCTGATGTCCCAGAGTTCAGACTCGGTCATCTCTCTGCTGGTGCTGACTGTGTGACCAGATGCTCCATCAGCAGTACAGCCGAAGGAATCACTAGAAACACGCGGCTGCACCTCCAGCAGGTTTTCTGCAAGTGAGCGTGGATCAATTTCAGCTGCAGCTTCTCCTTCACTTGGTTGGTCTGGGATTGGATTCTGGTTCAAGGCCAATTAATTAAAACAAAGGAGGAGAAAATCAAATTACACAACAGTGACAATGTAATTTGGCATGCTGCTAATGCAGTACCTCTACTTTCTTCAACTGCTGATCTGCAAACTGTGCATCATACTGAGCCAGGGTGTCCACCTCTTTGCCGTCTCTCTTCTGATCCGCCTCTTCACATTGTGTGGACTGGCCTTGGGTTCCTAGCCTGCTCAGGGTGTCCTGATGCTTTTCAGCTTCTCCATCTCCCTCCACATCGTCCTCAGGAGGTTTGCACCAGGCGAGGGGGATCAAGGATCCCTGCTTATCAAAATTCTCCAGGTTTGCATTTATTTCTTCTTCCCTACCTGCTCCAGCCTCTGGAGTTGGAGCATTGGCCTGTGCATCAGGCACACACAGGATCTCCAAATAGGGTAGCTCCTCCATGATCGCCCCACAACCTGAATGTATCCAAACAGATCATAGCCTCAGCTGTGGGAGTGTGCTTTCCGGTTTAGATTGTGCTTGCAATGCAGATACCTGAGCAGACTTCCTGTTTAGCAGAACCTCCAGCAGTTGGGACTTCTACACGTTCCCTGCTGGACTCATTAGTTAACTCAGTAGTTGCGGTGGGAACTGATGGCGCATAAATGTTTTCAACTTCTCCTGTGCAGGATGATTCAGGCGTGACCTGCTCAACGTTGATGTTTTCAACCAACATAGAGCCGGGGATTAGAGGATCGTCTGACATCAGGAGATTGAGCAGGTTGGGGAAGCGTTGGGTTTGTAATTCAGCTTCATATTTTTCTCTCAGAGCTTGGGCAGCCTGTGAATCCTAACAAAACAGACACTGTTATTATGTCAAATATCAAGCCTTAATATTTGTCTTTTGCACTGGACAGAAGCTACACTCACCCGGTGTAGGAGCACTTGCAGCAACGCTAAAGCTTGGCCCTCCTGCAGCTCCGTCAGATGCATCAGAAGGAGCAGCTTACAGTCCTCCAGCAGAGATTGTGACCATTTTCCCTGCATGTCCATCTGAATGCTGGGTTGCTTTGAGTTGTCCTCGCTTCCATTCTGTGTCTGGAGCTGAGCATGGATTTGTTTCAGTCTTTTTATACATCCAGCCCTCAAGGAGGTTCGATCGGCATCAAAGCCACCATCTGGAAGCCATAAATAAGACGTCAGAGCTTTAGGAAGCCCATTGAAGAACTTCAACACTAGTTTCAATGTTTATTTGGTATCATTTTCCTGTCAGAACATATATGTAACCATGTGACCCAAACTATCACCCAAAGATTAAGGAGAAGTGGCTACAATGTTCAGTAGCAACCCAGGAACTATAAAGGCTCAAGTCAGTTATAAGCTGGAAGATGCTGAAGCAAGTCAGCATGAATTGAAATGATTTAATCCAAGAAGGAAGCACTGCTTATGAAAAAGCAGTGCAGAATGTGAGCGAAATGTGTAGCTAATTTAATCAAAACATCCGTTGGCCTTCTGGGAAAAGTTTTTTTTTTTTTTTTTTTTTTCAGAAAGTCCCATAAAACCAATGTATTGAGATGAGTGCTTACATTTCAGATAAAAGAAAGGATAAGATATAGGAGAGAATAAGACTTCCTTGACGACTGTAAAACTGTCTGGTTCCTCTGAAATGTGTCAAAGAAGTCGGGAATACTTACTACATGCATTTGAACCTGTATTTAAAGCTTTGATCTTGGAAAAGGTGAACGAAATCCACAAAGTATTTCAAGTTGTGCACCAAATTACTGTGGAAGATGGTTATCATTCATTATTAAAAGCCTAAAACCGATTCACGTAAATGAGGAGTGAAAGTAAACGATGAGGATTCTAGCTAGTTGTAGCAATGAGCAGGCATCAGAGGAGGAAAAAAAAAATGCTGGAAAAAACAATACCTACTATCTTTTGGCGGTATTGCGCAGCCTGCCTCTTGTAAATCCTCTAGGGAGATCCTGTGCAGCAACGTGAGCAGATGCTTCCTCTCCTTTTCCTGAGTCAGCACAAGTAGCTGTAGCTCTGTACTCTGGCAAAGTTTTAGTTTTGTTACTGATCAGAAAACAATCTCCAGTGCTCTCTTTTACAAAGATCTTGCACCCTGCACAAAGCATAACGTTCTGCATGATGATGTCTAGAGCTAATCCATACAAACATGGATCTCTAACTGATGTTAAAGGTGCAAATAAAGTGACAATTGTCTTCCATATGTTGCTTGAGGTAAACAATAGAGAGAAGACATCTGTTGTCTATAGTTTGGAATACCCGCTGTGTTGTCTCAAAGTCCTCCTTTCCTTCCTCTCCCTTGTCTTCATTCTGTAGCAGCAGAGTGACATATTCTGCTCTACACGGACTGAGAACCTGTGGCCTAAAAATAAGGACGAGCTTTAATGGTGCATGCACAAAAGGCTGGAGACGATACACATCCTGTAGGTTTTGTAAACTCACCATGACTCCCAGGATTGACGAGATGCCAGCAGAGCGCTGTGAGGTTGTTTTTCCCTCTGAGCTCTGTAAATCGCCAGAAGGACATGGAGACACAAAAGCCTCAAACTTTTGTCACACAGTCTGGAAAAAAAAAAGAAAAGAAAAGAAAAGTTAATTAATTCCTGTTCGGGCAAGATCTATGTCCAAGATTATGCAAGCGATATAATTTGAGTTTTTATTACCTTTAACGTTTTATTTTTATTTATTGTTTTTTACATTTTGTTACAAAGCTCTATGAATACTTTTGTAATGTGCAGCATGTGAGTGAAACGCATTTTTAAACAACTCCTTCTCAAAATAGAAGCGTATGGATAAACAGTCTGTAATCACCTTTGACCCAGGACTGTCAGCTGATTTTGTTCTTGTTGACAAAAAGTGTGCAACTCATTCAGGAGAGCAACAGCTGAACAGGATTCTTCCCTTAACTCTGAACATCTTGTTCTGCAGGGAAATTATATACATATAATAAATGTAGCTAAAATTGTGTTCCTTAAAAATGGGTCCAACAGGGTTATACTTAAAATTTTACCATATTGTATTCCTTTTTAATGTTCTAAAAAATTACCCAAAACATATTTTCTGACATAAAAGACTATAATTCAATTAATTACAAAATTTTAACATTTCACCTTATTAAAAAAAAAAAAAATCCTAAAAAATAAGAATTTCCCTTAAACCCCATAAAAACTAGTATTTAAACCAGTATTTTTAATATATGCCAATCAGAATAATTGTGATATTTGTCACAATCATGGATAGACATATGCATGGTGTGCCATCAGCTTTGAATTTTAACGTTATCCTCGCGGGTCAGATTTCTAATGATTTTGTTTGATTTCTGAGGGGAAACATGGTTTCAATTCCTGAAACTGGAGGGAGAGAACCCTCCAGTGAACACTGGTGTATTTACAAACTTTGTGGTTGTGGGTTACTTGTATATCCTGAACGCTCCAGGGAGGAAAACCAAGCCCAGCATGTCAGCAGACTGCAAAACGTCCTCCGCCATAGTTTCCAGTGCCTCCACTTCCTTTCTCTGTTGCCAGGGAAGCAGCATCTCCCAAACACTCTGGGCTGAGGAATCACCAGAAACAGATGTGAAACAGCAACAGATTTGGAGCACCATGCACAATGCTGACAAAGTCATTGTCAGGACTGGGAAGTCGCTGACATTATCCGGGGTTATTGTGAGCACAGGTCAGAGTGACATGCCCTTACTGTAGTGCTCCTGAAGCATTTCTGTGTAAAGCAAGTGAGTCACCACATCATATTTCACTTCCACCAGAAGGATGACATCCGACAAGGAGACAGAGCCCCATGTCTGACCCCTGAGGCCCAACCTGTGGCTACACAAGGGGGAGGGCAAAATGCTGCTAACGCCCTCTGATGCCAGTCTGAGGAGGAACAAAGACAACAAAAATACATAAAAGAAGCACATCGTTACATTATAGACTAAAAGGATTAAATATCTTTGATGTTACTTAAACCTTGTTAGGCTAGAATACTCAGCAATGTCCCTAAATGTAAAATTTGCAATGTCTATATTGCATCATGCCCATACTGTCATTGCAGAAGAGAATCACTTTTAAAGCGTGCTGAGCCATGCTCACCTGGCCCAGCACTGCTTGACGGCTTTTTTTAGCCTCTTCAATCTTGCTGCTGTTTGGCAGAGCTGCTTTTTTCCCAGCACTTTCTCACTCTGTGTATCGAATGTAAAACTTGAGAAATAGTAGAGCAAAAAGAAAAAAAAGAAAGCGTTGGTTTTCTAGTAAGTAGCAGCCAACCACTTACCCGGAAAATGTCTATTTCAGCTGTTTGTGGCTGTGGGAGTCCTGACACAGAGTTGAAAGCATTTCTTAAAAACTCTGAGTCATTTCTATGGGGCAACTTTTGCAGCATCTGATGAAGATTTCCACTATTAAGAAGCTGGCAGTCCCAGTAAACCTGCAGAAATGGCAGCTCTTCTTAGCACTAAATGAAAAGATCAAGAAACGGATCTATACAAAGAAAGCAGAACTATTGTACCATTTCATTCTTTTCCTTTGCCCTTTCCATTTCAAGGAGCACATCCAAAACATTTGCACCTGTACAGGACCAGCTTTTGTCTCCTCCTGCAACCTAAAACACAAACAGTTCTGACAAAAAAGTATTGTTGCATGTTATAAAAGGTAAAAATAATGGACCAGTAATTATAATAAGTAATCAACTGCAACATAAGATATTTAACGGAACATTTAAGCTATGTGTATCATAAATAAACATCAATAAAAATGTTCTTGTTGATAACAGATAATAAGATCATGAAAGAAAAAATAAAATAAAATCTCTCATAGTTGTAACGTTTTTTGCTTGGTCAGTCTGGGTAAATTTGACAAAGATCAGTCACTGATGTTTTATTTGCACTTTTTCACCCAGATTGAACTATTTGTATTACTTAAAGATTGAAATATTTAAAGAAACATCTGAATCCTTTTTGTTTTGTGTCAGCTTGTGTTGTAACTTGAAAAAAAGACATATTAGTTCACTTCTCATGGTTAGAAACAAAAAAGTGTTTAAGATTTCTATCAAGAATTTTATAACTTCTGGAATCTCGATTGGATTTTTACCTGACTGTGATCTCACTTCATCAATGTCTGTTTTTATGTGCCTGTGTTCATTAAGCAGCTGCATCGATCTGGTTTAATATTTCTTGGATACAGTAAATACCAAACAGCAGTTCCAACACATGCTCTTTGCCCAAATGCAGATGTGTGATTTTTTTTTTTCTGCAGAAAAAAAATATATGTTTGTTTTCAGTAGATTAACATTCTTACCCAAAAGTTATGTTTATTTTTTGCTATTAATTCAGTTATGTGTAATGTTAGGGTATTTATATTTAACAATGAAGTGCAGCAAATTACTTAAAAACAACATGTGGTGTGGCTGAGCTACAATAAATGTCAAATGAAAGTAATGAAGGTGGCGGTGCAAATGACTGTCTCAGAGAAGAAGGATAGCGATAAATGTAAAGACAGATTAGCTGGGAATAATAAAACAAACGCCTGTCAATCAGCCATCAATTGAAACCAGGTGGGTGAAACAAGAAAACACCTAAAAACTGCAGGACAGCGGGGTCTGAGGACCGGGGTTGGGAATCTCTGGATTACAGAGACCTAAAGGACACAAATGAGACAGGAGCAGGTGGACAGGACAGGGTGAAGAGTAATTTTTCTAGATTTTTTTTTTCCTAATAAAAATGTTTGTTAGCAACAAACTTGGATTTCACAGCGTAATTTTCAATCTATATGCTTCATTGTAATTTTGTCTGTCACTTACATATTTCTACTCCTAAATACATGTTGTCTGCCTGATATGTGGAAACCCCTATGAAAAGTAACTGAAAACTTAAAAAAAAAAAAAAGTTGTCAAAGCCTAAAGATGATTGAGAACATTTTAGTAGGAAACAAATCAAGTGAAGTTATCATAATTAATGCATGAAAGGGTTAATCCCTGAAGTTACTCTTTATGAATAAGTAATTCTGTATTGTTTTTTTATATTCGTTCTTCATTTTCTGCTGCATGATAAAAATGCTTGAATTATTTTCAATGATGATTTTAGTTTTTCTGCCCCAAGTCTATAGTATTCTGTTGGGATAAATGAGTAAAAACGCTGCTGCTCAAAGTTTGCTATGAAATGTAAGAATTGTTACCTTTTTCATGGCTGCATCAGCTTCACTTTTGCTCGAGGGCACATGAAACACTTTGCAGAAGAGAAGACTAATGTCTTCAGTGGAAAACTCTGCTCCAGCAGACATGCTGAGACACTGGTGAAGAGCGGGAATAATATCCTGCAAGAGTACAAGCTTAGACGTTTGCAGGAAAAAACAAACATAGCACCAGCACAGTGATGACACATCTTACCTCCTCCATGTTTTCCGCACGACAGGCTAATGAATTATACAGAATATCGCTAAGGTTACAGCAGCCGGATCAGTTCGCCAAGAAACAAAAGTGCCCATGTTTATAGCAGAGGGAGAGTGAAATGTGACACAAAAACACAGAAAACAAACCGAAGGCTGTTCAATCCTCTAGTGACAAAAAGAGTGTTGCGCTTCATCTGTAACATCAATATTAAACACAAATTCATTTCATAAAAATACAACATAGAAGAGAAAAGAACTTTACGGGCAGAGTTTAAATAACAAAAAGAGTTTATCATCTTAAGATATCTTTTTTGATATCTAATCAAAAAATAATCATTTATCTTTTTTTTAAAAATATTTTTTCATATCTTAATATCATCTTAAGATATCGTTTTTGTCAAGCAAAACTGTCCTGGGACACGTAGACAACCAGGTGCTCTTTATATGTCTGTAAGACAAGATTGAACACTTGTAAAAAGAATTATAACAAAATAAATAGTAACAATAATTCAAAAATATGTGTTACTGTTAATTTGTCGTTTCCAGGCTCGTTTTATGTTATGTATTTTTGGTTGTTAATGTTGACTGTGTGGACCCAGGAAGGGTAGATGCAGAGAACTGCAACTAATGGAGATCCCAATGAAAGAAAGAAACGAAGAAGGAAATGAAAGGACATAAAAATAAATACTTTTGCAACAAAACACTGATTCCTATTGGTCTCATTAATGTAACTTCCTCTAAATACCTTTGCAAACCTTTGCAGATGAAACATTTCATTTAATTACCTGAATTGCATCTTTCCTCAATGATGTGAGATGCAGAATATTAGGGACAAATTGATCCTCAAACAGCAAATTAATTTGAAAAGGAAACAAAAATAATGGTTGGAATTTTGTTTATTTTAAAATTGCAAAATGAAGTGAACCTGAGATTATGTAGCCTGTCGTACATACAGTCAGACATTGCACATTTTAATCTGTATAGCAAACAAGTGCTTTTAATTCATGTTAACACTTTTGAATATTTATAGAAAATGCCTCGCAAAAGTGTAACCATAAGTAGGAAAAATATCTGTGGTGTAAGTACTCAGTGCTAGTTATAAAAACACATTTATCATCAGTCAGTTACATCTTTAGACATAACACCCATATATATAGTTCAGATACATTTTGGGGTCAACAAAGAGGCAGCGGAGTGTGCCTTTGTGCATCTGAGTGGGCCTGCATCTGGTACCAACAGTTGCAGCATCACAAAGCGCCACCATGAATGATCTTGGGGCATTTTTCTGGCTGGATGCAGTGGTTGTTATGGAGAACCAGACCAGCAGGACACTGGCAGCCCGGGACGCAGGGCTTGAAGCAGTGGCTCTCTATCACTCCCAGTGGTACGTCAACATTAAAGCATGTTACGGGACAAGGTGGGCCGCACTCGTCAAACACAAAGCCCCGCTCCACAGGACAGCCCACAGCTGGTGAAGAAAGAGGGAAAGAAACAAAATAATGAGAAACAGGGAACAATGTGATGTCTGTCGTTTTAAGGGATCGACGTATCTACCGTGTCTTATGGACACCTAATTTATTGATTTGCAGTCAAACAGTGACTGTCTAAAGGCCCTGAAAGCTGTCCCAAACCATTTTTATGACTTAGTAAGAATGATTAAAAGATTACATTTTACCCACCACAGAGTGATGTGCTCCTCCACTGCAGGATGACTCCTGCTTCTCTGCACTGACTGGCGTAGGCCTCCAGTGCGTCGCACAGACACTCGTCAGTATTGGCCCCACACGCACAGAGGTCGTAGACGCAGGCGGCGTACCACTGTTCAGGCGGAACGACACGGTGACAGGGCTTGAAGACTGTAGACTTGAGAACTTTACAGCGGGCGTTGGCCCCTTTCCTGGCCTGGTATCCAGCACAGGGATCAACATCTTCTCCGGGTCGACAGGATGAAAGTGAATGGTTTCCGTTTGTCATCTTAAATGAGATGTTTTATACGCAAGTTAGACAACGTGCTTTTATATGACAGTCTTTTGTTAGTCTGTTAAACATACCCTCCAGCTATTGCCAAAGTCAGACTCTGAGGTGGTGAGTTTGCCAGTGGACATTTGGAGGTCATCCTGGGGATACTTGTTGAAATTTCCACAGAGACCACAGGTGCGCTCCTTGTAGGAGCCTGGCACGCTCACTTCCAGGTGTGAACGGGGACTCCACAGCACCTGGAAGGACCAACAAATATATAACTGTGTCCTCTTATTGAACGTTTACAGTAGATTTGAGGTACAACTGTACCTTTAATCCAATGTTAGTGTTGAGTAGGACGGTGTTGGCTTGCCGCTCTATAAAGATATACGGCTCTTTTAGAAAAGGCAAAGTCACAACCTCTTCATTCACCTTAAGAACAGAAACACCGTTGAGTCAACATGTTTCACAAAAGTTGTCAACTTTCGACTTTTTGAAAACACAAACCTTCACAACAAATTCTTGGAGCAACTGCACAGCAACGTCACTTATAAAGACGGCCACCTCCTTAGTCCAGGACACTCCTTTACGCCCACGATCATCATTTGTAACATGAACACTGCACAAAAAAGAATGAGTCACTGATATTCTATTAATTCTCTTAATATATTTCTGATTCAGCTCATTTTTGCCCAGCCTGTCAGTGTGAGTGTACAGCCGAGTCTCTGAAGGTTTGTCATGTTTTTATCGAATTCTCAAAAAATTAATTGCATACTGCTCTTTGTGGGATATTCAAAGCTTGGGATATGGGTCTATGAATAAAAAAACAAAAAACTCATCATCCTCTCACCTGAAGTCTTCATCTTTACAGTCCTTTGTCAGGATATACGTGCATGTCCCCTGGAAGTGAAACATGCGTCCATCGAAGGTGAGGTAGTGAGGGTACCCAAAGGCGATGCAGGTAGCTGGACGAGGAAGGCAGTGTGGACAGCACAAACCTGGAATTACTGCAGGCTTCTCATCCTGTCAGCAAACAGATAGATTGGGTTTCACCAGTGATCAAACTTTGACAGGAAAGGAAAGCGTCAGAAGTGAAACACGTTTACACTTTTCCTGTCATTTTAAGGCGACTTTCAAGGATGATGTGCACGTCCATTTGCTGTTTACTATAGAAATTGTGACATGTTGCATGCTATGTCTAAAGCTCAGGTGAATATAAAAAGAAATGTCAGGAGCTGCTTTACCTCAAAAATAAAATTGAGTAAAATGGTATTTGTTGGCAGAAATCAATTCAGTTTGATTAGAAAGCATGCTTTACATTTTTTTAATTGATTGAAATGTGACTCTTTTAGCTGCTAACATTACATCATTAATTAAAAAAAAAAATATATATATATATATATAT